TCTTATTTTTTCTTTAATATTCTTTCTGACAATCGTTTTTATTGTCCCATTTCAATTTTACTCATTGCCATCATTCCGTTTTTTTATTAAATATTAGGAATTTTATTCTTATTCACACCTGCTTAATCGCAATTTTTCCTCTATGAACTCTAATACCCTTAATCTTATTTTATCTCTATATCTTATAAGGTGGATCAATATCAACTTCCATTTCCCCAACTAGCATCCATAAGTCTACCGCATCTACGGGATTTGCATCTTCAATCTCCTCTACATCCACCGCGGTTAATCATGCTTCTACAACAAATGTGGCTTCGCCATCATTAGCTATTTTGTCAACGCCCGTTACAGGTGGCACTGATGCTTTTCTTGCTCCAGGCTCCATTAGTGTACCTATTAAAATTGGAAATCATAGGGACGCAGCTTTTCTTTTACATGAGGTTCGTTGTATTGCTGGCCTATTTGTTTTATAGTTATACAATTTTCTGCTGCTTTTTTGTTTAACACGCTACGAATTTGCCCAAAATTAATTAAGAACGAGTGACTTTTAAATTTAGCTTCACTTCCCTGTATATAACCAAGAGTCTTTCTTAATAAGAGCTCATTTAGATTTCGACCCCGCCAAAATCGCTTTTTTGGGTTTTGGACTAAATTATGGATTAAGAGGTAACCATGTCACATATAAATATAACTAATATACTGGTAGTCTCAAAACTCTACTTATAAACGAAAAATAATTAATGTTGTCGATTGTTGTGGCAAATATAACCTTGCTTCCATCGACAATCCCACCAAATAATGTGCTATGGGAAAATGCTTGGCCTTTAAATTCACATCTGCCTTATGGGGGCACTCGTGGCAACGTGACGGAGTGGTTAACTTGTAGAGCTTATACACTGCACTGTCATGGTTTCATTCTCGCTGTTTTTTGTTGAAAAGACCTAGGCGAGATCGAAACTAGTCCATCCTGGATGAGAGCAACATTTGGATAAACAAGGCTATATAAGATTAATTCGAATCGTCAGCTTTACTCATATCATTGTGGGTAAATTCAAATACCAGTCCTTCATCACTTCAACGGAATAAAGTGAACACATC